GCCACCAGCGCCTCAGCGGCGGCGCCTCGGCGGCGGCGACTCGGCGGCGGCGACGGCTCGGCGGCCGCGGCGGCGACGGCTCGGCGGCGGCGACGGCTCGGCGGGGGCGCCCCGGCGGCGGCGGCGCCGGCCGCCGCGGCGGCGCCCGGCGGCGGGGGCGGCGGCGACGACGGCGGGGGGCGCCTCAGGACCGCCGAGGCGGCGGGCGGCGCCGGTGGCCGCGGGGGGTCCCGCCGGGCGGGCCCCCGCTCCTATCGCTCCCTCCCTTCGGGCCACAGGCACTGAGCTGAGAGGCGCTGGGGCCTAAGAAAAATACGGCCGTTGCGTTTCGCCGAGATCGGGGCGGGCCCCCTTGAACGAAGGATTGCAAAAAAAACCCAGGATTGCAAAAAAACCCGAAGGATTGCAAAAAAACCCAAGGATTGCAAAAAAAACCCAAGGGTTTTTTTTGCAATCCTTCGTTCAAGGGTTTTTTTTTGCAATCCTCCCCCCTATGAGACCAGAGCTTGGCTGACTGGTTCGGTGGCGCCGGCTTCAGTCAGGGGGAGTGAGCGCCAGAGGCTCGCGCCTCTCTGGACACGCGAGTGGCCGATGCTCACAGCCGTGTGGTACTGTCCGAGGGCGCCTCTCTGAAAAATAATTTGTTGGACGCTTCGCGCGTAACACCACACCAGCTGCGGCACCCTGGCGCTCAGGGCACGCGCGGTCTGACCGGCTCCGGCGCGAGTGCTTGCACTCCCCCGGCTGCTGGTCCCCAGTCACCGCCACGGCTGGCCGTGTCTGTTGGTGCTGCTGGTCCTATGGGATTCTGGTCCGCTTGTTCACACAGGAGTGGTTCAGCCTTCTTGAACGGCCAGGCGTATCACCTTCGGTTGCGACAAAAAAAACCCACCAGCCCATCCAGAGACGATGCCCAGAGGAGTTGCCTCGATCAGGGAAGTGGGCAGCACACAGAGGACGGGTCCCTCTTGTAGCGCTCTCGGAGAGCCACTTGGAGCTCTTTTGGGGGCCGCTTATGGGCTTCTTGGGGGCCTCTCGGGAGCCTCTTGGAGCTGTCTTGGGGACCTCAGAAACCCTCTTGGAGCCATCTTGGAAGAGCTCGTTCAAAGAAGGGGGGGTCTTTAATAAGCCTCCCTCCTCGGGAGCCCCTAAAATCGCCTCTTGGGCCCCTTATTGAAGCGTTCCTGGAGCGTTCTCGTGCGCTCTTGGGGCCAAGACCCATCGAAAGCAAAAAGGCGAGAAGGCATAACTCATTGATTTGCCTTATGTTGTTGCAGGATGTTGGCCTCTTGGCGGCCTCCTGGGGAGGTTCCATGGCCAGTTGGAGCCGTCTTGGAGCGGTCTTGGGGTCTCTTGGAGCATCTTGGGAGCCATCTGGAGCCATCTTGGGCTACCTGGAGCCGTCTTGGAGGTCACATGAGGTCACTTCGGGCTCTGTGAGGCCCTCTTGGAGACATCCCCGGCCATCTTGGACGCTCCAACGCCTCGCGAACCCCCCCCTCCAGGTCCAGGGGAGGAGGTCGGGGGAGGGGACAAGACACCCTCCAGATAGCAAGCCGTCTAGCTCACTCCCACCCGCCCTCACACACACACACACACACACGCACACACACACACACACACACACACACACACACACACACACACACACACACACACACACGCGCACACACAAGTAACACCCGAGCGTCAGCATGCTTCACGGTCGTCTTTGGATGGGCAGCCACTGGGGACCAAAACCGAGCCCATGTGCGCGACGCTGGGGCGAGGTGCGCCACGCGTGCCAGGCGCGCCACGCGCGCCAGGCCCCCCTGGGGCCCGAACGTGCAAGGCACGCCTGGTGCGCCAGATGCGCCACGTGCCTCCGCGTGCGCCAGGTGTGCCGCATACTCCACCCGCGCCAGGTGCGCCACGTTCGGGGCACGTGAAGAGTATGTTCGGTGCGCCTGCGCACGTGACAGTCACATCGGGAAACATGTCGGCCCCCACCATCCTTGTCGAAAACCCATGCCCAACATTGTGTCTGGTGGGACTGCGCACAGCAGGCCATATGCCGCCACCCCCGCCATCCCTGTCAAACACCACTTGACAACGATCGCGGGGTGGCCGCGCATGATCCAGGTGTAGTTGCGAGGTGCATTCAACCTTGTGCTTTTTGTGTGGGGACGGTAGCCCTGCGCGCAGCAGGCAATATGCTGACACCCCCGCTGTCCCTGTCAAAAAGCAGTACATAGTGCTCGCGGGCCTCACGAACATGACTCCAGACTATGCCAGTTGCTTCAAAGTGTACGTACGTTGTATCGTTTTGTTGACAGGGATGGTGGGGGGGGGGGGGGCGCGTCGGGTTGGTTGCGCATGCTCCGGATTTGGAGACAGAGTGCGTGTTGTATTGCTTCTTGAGAGGGATGGTCGTGGGGGGGAGCATGGTTTCTGGTTGGCTGTCGGTCGTATACGAAAACGGAACAATGACAAACCCCTCCCCGAAGGGGAAGAAGGGGGTTGGATGAGAAATTGCTCTAGACCACATACGTCCAGAGGGCTGGTGGGATTGCCCCATGGCGTCGAGTGCGTTCAGGACAAGAAAACACGCCTCACGCCATCATCCCCTCCCGTCTGCCCTTGGCCCCGAGATCATGGATCCCAAGTGTGTGAAAGGCGCCATAGTACGAATCCAATGAAGGACCCGACAGTAGGATCCGAATCTAGGATCCCAATCAAGGGTCCAGGGTGAGGGTTTCAATCGCTCATGCCACACAAGCCCCCTTGTAGGGATCCCAAAGAGGTCTGAGACATGATCCAAATGGAGGATCATGTTTTCAGATGGTAGCTGCGGATTCAAATAACGTTTCCCCCCCCTGAGGAACAGGCAGTCACGCGCAGCCCTTGCCCGTGCGCTGTGCTGCACAGTCTTCGCGCACCACTGCACGACCCCGCGAAGCCCCTGCACGCCCGTGCGCAGTCCTGCGCGGTCCCTGCAGGGTCCTGCGCGCCCCTCTGCGCAGTCCAGGCGCGCCCGTGCAGGCTCCCGCGCAGTCGTGCCCGCGCCCCTGAACAAGCCCATGCGCACTGCCGCACGGCCCCTGCACACCCCTGGGCTCTCCAGCGCAGTCCCTGCGCGCCCCACCTGTGCTCTCCTGTGCAGTCCCTGCGCGCCCCACCTCCATCTCAATCGGATCGACAGGTGAACGACCACCAGCCAGCCCAATCCCCTCCCCGCCCTTGGTTGCATGCCAACACCGAGAAGAAGCACTCTGCCCGAAGAGGATGAGAGGATGATGGAGGAGGAGGAAGAGGAGGAGGAGGAGGAGGAGGCGGAGGAGGAGGAGGAGGAGGAGGAGGAGGAAAAGGAGGAGGAGGCGGACGAGGAGGAGGAGGAGGCGGAGGAGGAGGAAGGGGGCTATGCACCAATTCCTGACCGTAACCGCGCAGGTTTTGCTGCTGGGCCGCAGACGACCTCACGGATTTCTGCGGCACGTGCCTGCCGATGGCCATCGCGGGGCCCACCAGCTACTGCAGCAAGTCTCGGGCCGCATGCGGGTCGTGCGGCTCCGCGACGTGGTGCCAGGAGGGCCCCAAGAGTCGCCAGGAAGCGGCGCCTGGAACAGAGCTGCTCCTGAGCTTCGATGGCACTCAGGCGCTTGCCCCAGACGGCGTCATCGGCATGAAGGTTCGTAGGGCGTCACCTGATATACACACAACACAACACAACACCACACCACACCACACCACACCACACCACACCACACCACACCACACCACACCACACAGCACAGCACAGCACAGCACAGCACAGCACAGCACAGCACAGCACAGCACAGCACAGCACAGCACAGCACAACAACACACACGCACAACACACAACACACACACATAACACACACACACACCGCCCCTTGGTCAGGCCGACCCTGGCAACGCCCGGAGGGCGTGCACGCCGATCCTGGGCACCAGAGGGTGGGCCCGGCCGGGAGCGGCGCCAGGCGCCCGTCGCCGGCGCGCCCCTCCCCCGAGGTGGGCGGCAGGACCTACAACGTCACCGTGGTGGACTCCAGCTTCGAGGCCTTCCCGACGCCGCCCCCGACGCCCGCGCCCACGGCGCGGGCGCCCGCGCCCGCGCGCGTGCCCGCCGCGGGCGCCCCGGCGCCGAGCGTCGACGCCGTGAGGCAGCACGGCAGGCTGCGCGTCCAGGGCAACACGATCGTCGGGGAGCCCTCGGGGGGGGGGGGGAGGCCCGCCCCGCCCCGCCCCGCTTCGCCTCGCTCCCGGGCCGCACGATCGTCGGGCAGCCCTTGGAGGGGGGGGTGGGGGGCGGGGCGGGGCGGGGGCCTGGCCCGCCCCGCCCCGCCCCGCCTCGCCGCGCTCCAGGGCCACACGGTCGTCGCGGAGGCCCCCCCCCCTTGCCTCGCTCCGGGGCGTGGGCAGGCGGGCGGCCCACGGCGGGGGAGCGGGGGTCTCGTCACGAGGGGGGGGGGGGCTCGTCGCGGAGGGGATCGGTGCGGCCGCGCCCGAGGAGCACGGGATGCCGGTGCGCTTGCGCGGGATGTCGATGTTCTGGTCGCAGTGGATGGGCCAGTACTGGACCCCCGACACTATCAGGTGGCTCAAGGAGGACTGGCACGTCTCTTTCATCCGCGCCGCCATGGGCGTCGAGCAGGGCGGCTACCTGGAAAACCCGGGCGCAGAGAAGGCGAAGCTGCAGGCCGTGGTGGACGCCTGCATCGACGCGGGCATCTACGTGGTCATCGACTGGCACGCCTACCACGGCGAGGACCACGTCGAGGAGGCGAAGGCCTTCTTCGGCGAGATGGCCCAGAAGTACGGCGACAAGCCCCACGTGCTCTTCGAGACGTACAACGAGCCCCAGCAGGTCGACTGGTCGGGCGTCATCAAGCCGTACCACGAGCAGGTCGCCCCTCGGCCTTTGGGGGGCGGGGCTGTACTGTGACAGTGTTGGAAAAAGCACCAATCCTCGGAGGCGGAGGAGGAGGAGGCGGAGGCGGAGGCGGAGGCGGAGGAGGAGGAGGAGGAGGAGGAGGAGGAGGAGGAGGAGGAGGAAAGAGGAGGAGGAGGAGGAGGAGGAGGAGGAGGAGGGGGAGGAGGGGGAGCTAGGAGTCCTTCCTCTGGTCTCTCCGCGGGCACTCCGCGTGAGATGTAAGCGCGGCTTGGGCCCCCGACGGGCTTCGCTCCTTCATTGAGGTCGCCCATGGCAGGGACTCGAGCGGGCCTGCGGGCTGGCGCTAAAAGACACGGCCTCATCGGTTGCCGACCCATTTGGAGGAGGAGGAGGAAGAGGAGGAGAAGAAGGTCGTCCCCGTGATCAGGGAGCACTCCGACAACATCATCATCTTGGGCACGAGGACATGGTCACAGGAGGTGGCGGGAGACCCCTTAGTGTGCCAACCAGCTGCATGCTCATCCTCTCCTCACCTCCCCTCCCCCCTCCCTCGGCCTCTTCCCCCAGCCCGTACCCTCCGAACTCCTTCTTCCCCCTCGCCCATCCTTCCCCCTCGCTCCTATTATTCCTCCTCCCCCCCCCTCTCGCCTCCATCCTGCGGTTCGCCATTCTGGCATCGAGGCCGACGGCCTGGCGGGAGCTCTCTCTGCTGCCGCCGCCGCCTCCTCCCCCTTTTTCTTGATCGGTCACGCGCTTATGCCGAGCGCGCACCTCGCGAAGCCGCACGTCGCATCACCCCCCTCCCGGGGAGGTTCCGAAGTCACCGCACGGCCCCTCGCCGCACCGTTTTGGGGACCACCCAAGAGGGACCCCCCAAGAGGGGCTCCAGCTTAGCTGCGACTGCGCGTGTTTCATCGACGTTGATTGCATGATGATCATGTGCGATTGCGTTTCTGCCCGAATCGCTCCAGCAGTCCATATCCGATACCCGGACCACCGAGTGGAGCTCCAGCAGGCCGAGTTTAAACGGCCCAGTCGATCGGCAGTGTTCGCCCACTTGGTTCGGTATATTTCTTGTCGTGGATCCCTAGGGCAGTGAGAAACGTGTTCTTCTCCATCAGGGTGTCCAGTCAGAAGTAGCAGCATATTGCCTCGTGAGTTCAGTCCGGCGCCAGTTGCGGGAGCTCACGCTACCCAAAAAGCAAAACTCCAGAATAACATTATAGACATTTTGTGCGACGCTCATATACATATATCGGCGCACCGGGTCCGGGGGCCCGGGGCCGGGACCCCGACCACAAATGTGCGCCCCGGGGGGCCCGGAGGCTCGTCGGGGCTTGCCGGAGGCCTCCCCAGTCAGACAAGACGGCCCAAGAAGCGCCCAAGACGGCCCAAGAAACTTCCAAGAGGCCTCCAAGAGGGCTCCGAGATGCTGAAGATGGCCTCCAGACGTCCAAGGACGCCCCCAAGAGGCCCCAAGAAGCCTCCAACATGCGTCCCAAGAGGGCCCCTAGACGCAAAAATTGGCCCATTCCCTTCGTAAAACGTACATTTTCAACAAAGTTGTCTTTTGGGCTTTCCGACGTTACAGGACGGCCCAAGAGGCGCCCAAGACCGCCCCAAGACGGCCCAAGAAGCTTCCAAGAGGGCCCCAGGACAGCCCAAGAGGGCCCCAAGACGGCCCAAGAGGCGCCCAAGATGGCCCAAGAGGGCCCCAAGACGGGCCCAAGAGGGGGCCCAGAGGGGGACCACGAACCGCAAGCTCGAGCCTTCCGCCCCAAGAGGCCGCCAGGAGGCCCCCAGGAGGCCCCTCAAGAGGCCCCAGGAGACCCCAGACGTCCAAGGACGCCCCCAAGAGGCCCCAAGAAGCCTCCAACATGCGTCCCAAGAGGGCCCCTAGACGCAAGAATTGGCCCATTCCCTTCGTAAAACGTACATTTTCAACAAAGTCGCCTTTTGGGCTTTCCGACGTTACAGGACGGCCCAAGAGGCGCCCAAGACCGCCCCAAGACGGCCCAAGAAGCTTCCCAGAGGGCCCCAGGACAGCCCAAGAGGGCCCCAAGACGGCCCAAGAGGCGCCCAAGATGGCCCAAGAGGGCCCCAAGACGGGCCCAAGAGGGGGCCCAGAGGGGGACCACGAACCGCAAGCTCGAGCCTTCCGCCCCAAGAGGCCGCCAGGAGGCCCCCAGGAGGCCCCTCAAGAGGCCCCAGGAGACCCCAGACGTCCAAGGACGCCCCCAAGAGGCCCCAAGAAGCCTCCAACATGCGTCCCAAGAGGGCCCCTAGACGCAAAAATTGGCCCATTCCCTTCGTAAAACGTACATTTTTCAACAAAGTTGCCTTTTGGGCTTTCCGACGTTACAGGACGGCCCAAGAGGCGCCCAAGACCGCCCCAAGACGGCCCAAGAAGCTTCCAAGAGGGCCCCAGGACAGCCCAAGAGGGCCCCAAGACGGCCCAAGAGGCGCCCAAGATGGCCCAAGAGGGCCCCAAGACGGGCCCAAGAGGGGGCCCAGAGGGGGACCACGAACCGCAAGCTCGAGCCTTCCGCCCCAAGAGGCCGCCAGGAGGCCATCAGGAGGCCCCTCAAGAGGCCCCAGGAGACCCCCAAGAGGCCCAAAGGAGGCCCCGAGAAGCCCCAAATCGGCCCCCTTCCTTTCACATTCTGTGTCCTTGCGACCTTCTGCAGTCCCCGACGTCGCCACGGCTGGATCCGCTCGAGCGTGTCTTGTGATGTGCGGCGGTGCGAAGCCCGTCCCACTGATCAAGGCACAGGTACGAAATGATGGGTCCATCATTTCTTGCCTTCCCATGTGCGTTTTCCCAATCGATTCCTGGGCCCGAGGTCGCAAAAATTACGACGTCGGAGGTCTGGGGAGGCGGGAAGCACGACCTGGACCTCCGACGTCTTGGAAAAATCACGACGGCGGTTTTTGTTAATTTTCGGCCTCCGGGGCCCCTCGCAGGTTCCCGGGACCGTCAGAAAACGACTCAGGATGAAAACGACTTGGGCTACAGGGCTATTGGGCTACAGGGCTATAGGGCTGTAGGGCTATAGGGCTATAGGGCTAGGGCCATAGGGCTATAGGGCTATGTGGGCTATTCGGCTATTGGGCTATAGGGTTGTTGGGCTGTAGAGCTATGGGGCTATAGGGCTACAGGGCTATAGGATCAGAGGGCTATAGAGCTAAAGGGCTAGATGGATATAGGGATATAGGGCTATTGGGCTATAGTCCTATAGGGCTATACGGCTATAGGGCAATAGGGCTACAGGGCTATAGGGCGATAGGGCACCCCCAGGCACCCCGGCACCCGGGCACCGGGCACCCAGGCACCCAGGCACCGGGCACCCGGGCACCCGGGCACCCGGGCACCCGGCCCGGCCGCATGGGGCCGGAATCTTGCCGAAGCTCATCGAACCTTTTAATCCGCCAGGACCCTTACAGAGGCAAGCTCTGATTGGGTACTAACCCATGGCAACCGCCGCTACCTTCGTCGCCGCGATCGCCGCCGTCTTCATCGCCGCCGTCGTCGACGTCCTCGGGTTCTGTTCGGGCACCCTCTGGCCATCTCGTGGGGCACGCTGGGGGATTGTCAGAGGCATTCGTAAGTATTCTGAGGGGCCCCGCGACTTCCCCCAGAGACTCTAACTACAGAAACTCCTTTCGTATTCCGGCCAGAAGCATCCAGAAACGATGTACATTAGCCCTGGCGGGGGGAATGATGGCGATGGTGATGTTCATGATGACGACGGTGACGATCCTAGCTAGAACCTAAGCGCGCGCGAAGCGCGCGCGTGGTTCTAGTGAGCATCTATGCCACGTTGTGATATGGCCGTCCCCCCCGTTTGCGTGTAATCGAGACCACTGTTGGCAAGCTGTATGTAGGGGTCTGACTTCTGCGCCACCACCAGACTTAATCGTTTGTCACTCGGGAGGTGCGAGTACGAAGGATGGCATGCATTGCTGTGCCAGGACCAGGGCACTTATCGAGATCATATCTGATTTGACTGCCGTTTTCCTTGAGCGCGAGGCACAGGATCCAGGCTTGCGGCAATGGCGCCGAAGTCTTCGTGGAGCATTGCGTACTGCACACGATTGGTTTTTCGATGGTGTGAAACAACGCAGGCACAATTGCCACATGGAGGTCGTTTGGGCCAGCGTGCAAGTGTGTTCGATGCTGTGTTGGATGCGTTGTTCGCGCCGGTGCCGACAGGCGAGGCTCGTCGGTTCTCTACTGACGCCTGCCCACGGGGAGGCGATGTTTGACCCAGCCTCTGTCGTGGCCGCGGGCGGGAAAGCCTTGTTGCGCATGTCCGTCCTCGGCCTGACGCGATGGCAGATGGCTGCGATCAAGATGGCCGCTTCACGGCTGGGATGGCCCAGGGACGGCGCACGTCGAGTCCGCTGCGCGGACTCGTGCTTCTCAGCGATCACACGCTGGAGCTTGTTCCTTGACTAACCTTGAAAGGTCTTTTGTTTTGGGTCCCCCCCCCCCCCCTGTTTTACTCCGCGGTGAATCAACTGGGCCCTCCCCCTCCTCCTCCTCCCTCCTCCTCCTCCTCCTCCCTCCTCCTCCTCCTCCTCCTCCCTCCTCCTCCTCCTCCTCCTCCTCCCTCCTCCTCCTCCTCCTCCTCCTCCTCCTCCTCCTCCTCCTCCTCCTCCTCTTCCCCTCCTCAGAGGCAGTGAGCAGGGTTAACGATCTCAGCCATCAGGATGCAAGGATAATCCAGACTATAGCGAGAGCACGGCCCCCCAAAATGGGGTTTTCCTGCTCCTCCGGCGCGGTGCTGCCTACGTCGACGCCAGCGGCGGAGACGGCGGCTATTCGGGCGCTCGAGCCGAATGCGAACGCCGACGCCGACGACGACGACGACGACGCCGACGACGACGCCGAAGCCGACGCCGACGCCGACGCCGACGCCGACGACAACGACGACGACGACGACGACGACGACGACGGCCGCGGCCACGGCGCCCCGACGCGTCCCTGTTCGGGCGCTCGAGCCGACTGCGAATGGGCGGCGGTCTCGGACCTCCCGGCCCAGGCAGCGCCCCCCGAAGTATTCATGCGCCAGAGGTCGAGTGCGGGGCTGTCTGATTCGCGTGGCCTGCCACGCGGGGCGTCGCGAAGGATGCCAACGAAGGATTGCAAAAAAGGATTGCAAAAAAACCCTGGTTTTTTTTTTGCAATCCTTGGGTTTTTTTGCAATCCTTCGGGTTTTTTTGCAATCCTTGGTTTTTTTGCAATCCCCCATTTGAGCCGTGGGAGCGGCCCCCGTCACATGCAGGCGAATGTGCATCTGACCGTGACCACTGGATCTTCGCAGAGACGTTCGCAAGGTCAGTTTGGTTCTTGCAGCGATCCACTGGCGTTCTCGGTCCGCTTCACGTTTTTCGCACCAGCAGTGTGGCCACTATTGTTGATCATGCTTGGCTCAGTTCGCGCGCGCATCGAATGGGATATCATCACAACGGTCTGGAAGTTAGAGTGCCCTCCCTTGTCGTTCGCCCATATGGTGTCCATGCTGGGAGGTGCCAGCAGACAGCGATTAGGTCGATGTCGGATTAGCGTTCAACTTTCCAGTTGGAGATTGCCAGGTTTGAGACCTTGCACCTTTCTGGCCCCGTTTGGCTGTTTGCTCCCGCTCGTGCGTCGAGGTTTCCGACAACCACTACAGCCGTCGAGCAGCGCTAGAGCAGCGATGGATTTTGCGGCAGACGCTGTTCATTATCGGAGAGGCTCCTACTTTTCTGTCTCAGCGAAATGCCTCTCAAGCCAGCCGCCGAGTCCAATTTCGCCAGGTCGCGACTGCTAGCCCAGAGACGTTGCAAGCATGTTCGAAGGGTTTCGGCATGTTCCACGTTGCCCGCAGGTGGGATGTCCCGATCCGCCTACCGGCGACAGAAGCGGCCGAACAAGCATGGGAGGTCATTGCTGCCAGCGTTCGCAGGTGGCGTGGATTTCAGCATCTCCGGACGCTTAGGCGAGATGTGATATCACCAGCGTTGTTCGTATACGACCAGGTTATCGTTACGCAGCAGTGCGAATGGTCGGGGTTCAACTTGCCATGCACTTCCCACACCGTTTTGATGAACGAGATTCCCAGCTACGTTCGCGTACGGGACGACAAAGACAAGAAACAGCGTTGGCAAATACACACATATACGTTTGTCTTGCTCGTGTACAAATACATCGTACTCGGTGGCACGCGTTCGATTTCTAACATGTCGCACTAGGATGCGAACAAGACCATCATCCAGAGCCTGTCGAAACAGCAGCAAAACAAGGGCTCAGAAGCCCCCCCTGGCCTGCCGCGAAGCTTCCCGAAGACGCAGACAACTTCCCTGAAGGCGCGAGGGCTTCCCAGAAGCCCCGCCGCCTTCACCCCCGCTCGCCGCCGATGCGCGCGGTGCTCGGAGCCGGCGTCGGGGCGCTGGCAGGAGGAGCGGCGGGGAAGGGCGGAGGGGAGGGGAGGGGAGGGGAATCCAAGGGAGAACGCGGAGGGGAAAAGGAAGGAGGAGGAGGAGGAGGAGGAGGAGGAGGAGGAGGAGGAGGCGCAGGGCAGGGCAAGAGGGTCAACGGGAGGAGGCGGAACGGGAGAAGGAGGAGGAGGAGGAGGAGGAGGAGGAGGAGGAGGAGGAGGAGGAGAGGAAAGGGCAGAAGAGGAGAGGAGAGGAGAGGAGATGAGGACGGCTCGTCCCGTTCATCGCCACGAGCGGCCTAGCGCGTTGCCTGTTCTGCTTCTCCGGCTCGCCTGCTCAGGCCTTCTGTGCTCTTCTGCGGAGTGCACGTAGAGGGGAGTGTTCGCTCAAGGAGGGGTTGGGGAGCGAACCCACCCAGATGCTCATCGCGTTTCGCCTCTACGGTCTGGAACTTGTGGTCCGCGTGTCGCTCCGCCGGTTCTGGCCCACTCCTCCTCTTCCTCCTCGTCCACCTCCTCCTCCTCTTCCTCATCCTCCTCCTCCTCCCTTGCATCCTTCTGGCGAGTAACATGTATGGAAGAGGAGAGGTATTGCCATCCAGTTCAATGTTCAATGAGGTGCCCAGCGAGATCCCCAGTCTCAAAACCAACGCCCCCATCCGTGTAACTGCTGCACAAGTTGACAGTTATGGCCATGACCTTCGAGGAAGTATCCAGCGAGGGTCCCTTTTTGAAAAGCAGCCGTCCTGAACCCGTGCAACTGCTACATATGTTGAAATTTCACGTCTTGGATGTTGGAAAGTTTGAAGCGAGACCCCCAGATGAAAAGGATCATTCCTCCATCCGTGTCACAAGAATAAGAAGACAGTGCGCGGCGCCTAGGTGAAAAACCCGGTTTGAAATGGAACCGCCCTCCATCCTCGAAGTTGCTGCGAACTCTTAGACGACTGTGCGCGGCGGGAGCGCCAATTTGAAGCACCGCCCTGCATCTTTAGGCGTGTCGCAATTTTGAAACGCATGTGCGCGGCGATGAGGGAGAGCCCTACTTCGAAAACAACCTGCGCCCCATCTTTGCCACCAATGCGTACGGCGCTAAGGCGAGAGCCCCATGTTGAAAACGATTCCTCCCTCAATCCTTGAAGTTTTTGCGCATGTATGCGCATGTTTCAAGACGAGTGCACGCG